AAACAGTCTTGGCCCCAGGCCCCCATCCTCTCCCTCCCATGTGAGGATGTTTTACCAGTAATGACAGCTCCGTGCTGTGTGTGTCTTCTCCTGCATGCACAGCTTCCCCATTGTCTCCATCCAAAAGCGAGGTACAGTGTTAGCCTCCCCCTCTCTTAGCCTCCCTTGACTGCCAGAGGTGTCTCTGTTTAGAAAAACCCCTCCACTTACCTTTGTACTTCTGGTATCGTTTACTTCTAGCAAGACTGGTCCCGTCTGTCCCTAAGGTCCCTAGGACTACAGATGGAAAATCATCCTTTAAGATCTGAATAAGATAATCTACACCAAAAATTTTCCAGGTGAGAAGGCATTATAAAAATGGCACACTGAATACGTTCTTCAAAAAATGGCCTTGTCGCCCTGGCCTGGGTGGCTTGGTTGAGTGTCGTCCCATGCACCAGAGGTTGCTGGTTTGATTCCGGGTCAGGGCATGTGCTCGGGTTTCCGACTTGATCCCCATTAGGGGGCGTGCAGGGAGCAGCCAATTGATGTTTCTCTCTCCCCTTCTCCTTTCCTCTCTGTCTCTAAAATCAATTAAAAAATATTTTTAAAAAAATGGCATTGTCATAAAAAGGGAAGGCTGAGAACCTGATACAGATCCAAGGAGACTAAAGGCCATGACAACTCAGTGCAGCGTGTGCTCCTAGACTGAATCCCATAACGGATGTTTTTTTAAAAAGCCACAAAGGACATTACTTGATAAATTGACAAAAATTGACTCTCAATGGGAAATTGATTAAAATTTTTATGTCAAATGTTAGATTACTGAAGGGAAGAACCGTACTGTATAGAACAGAATCTTTTAAAGAAATATACAATGAAATATTGATGGAGAAAGTACGTGATGCATGAACTAAAGTCTGCGGGAATGCATGCATAGTTTTCATATATGTGTGTGCTCATATGTAGGAGAAAGGGAAGGGAGGTAAGGAGACAGAAACAGAGACAGAGACAGAGAGGAGAGAAACTGCAAATGAGTCAAAATGTTAGTAGGTAAACCCGGTTAAGGGGGTTCTGGTTTTACCGTGCATGCAACTCTTCTACAAGTTTATTTTCAAATAAATACATTTTTAAATGGACCGTTGGTGGTTTTCCTGAATTGTGCGTGGCCTTTGAGATTTCTAGCTTTGATTTCCGCGGCTGCCACCCCCGCCGTGCCCAGGCCCAGAAGCCGATGCCAGCCTGACGGCACCGGCGGCCCGTCCCGGGCACGAAGCCGGCGCCCCCTGCACGTCGGAAGCGCAGAACTTTTCAGAAGGATTTTACAAATTACTGGAGGTCATGACCCCGCCAAGAATAAAACATGTTTTAAAATTATACATAATATGAAACAAAAACAATGAAAGAACGAGAAGTTCAAGATGCTTACCGCAGGGAGCCCCTCGGTCCTTGCCCGGCGCCAGTCCCGTGCCCTGGGGTTGGCGCTGCGCCCGGTTGGCCAGCGCCCCCCGCCAGCCGCTCCCCCGGCCCAGCTCCAGAAACGTGCTGACACCGTTCATCTTCCCTCTCCCCTACTGTCCTTCTCAAGTACTTATTCTTTTTACATCCTTTACTTGTTTTACCTTATTTAAATATAGTTCACATACCGTATAATTCACATTCAAACTGTATAACTTTATAATTTTAGTATATTCCCAGATAGGTGTGTCCCCAGCCAATTTTAAAACATTTTCATGGCTTCAGAAAGAAACCTGGTAACATTTTGTTAACATCCGTCTCCTCCCCACCCCCACTCCCTGCCCTAAGCAACCACTAATATATTTTCTGTTTCCCTAATTTTCTCTGTTTTGTGCATTTCATATGAATGGGGTCACATGTGATCATTTGTGACTGGCTTCATTCACTTAGCTCAGTGCTTTCGAGGCTCCTCCGTGCTGCAGCAGGTATTAATATTTTATTGCCGAAACATATTACATGGCACGGATATACCATATTTTATTTTCCGTTCATCAATGGATGGACGTTAGGGTCGTTCCCAACTTTTGACTGTGATGAATACTGGATTCTGCTGCTGTGAACATTTGCTTACGGGTTTTGGTGCGGGCGTGTTTTCAGGTCTCATGGGTGTTCACTCAGAGGTGGACTTGCTGGGTCACATGGTAACTCTGTGTTTGACATTTTGAGGAAGGGCCAGACTTTTTCAAAGTGGCTGCACCATTTTTCATTCCCACCAGCTATGTATGAAGGTCCCACTTTCCCCACATTCTCAGTGACACTTATCTGACTTTGATTCTAGCCATTTTTGGTGTCTGTTGCTCTCATAGTATTTTGATTTGCATTTTTTTCTAATGACTAATGACATTGAGCATATTTTCATCAATCTTTTACTTTTAATGGCATTTTGGGAAGAAAAACAAGTGTGTCAGATCTACTGCGTTTAAGTCATTTTCATGGGTAATAGGAAAAAACATTTCTTCTAAATACTTGAAAACATTTACCAATGCCAGTTCTGTAGTGTTCTACTCCTTGCATTCAGCCTGTTAGCATAGTTACTGTGTGATTAGGAGCAGCGCTGCTGTGCACTGGGTTTACTCTGTAAGATTCCCTCTTCTATGGAGAGAAGAAATCATCAAATGACTCCTCGGGGTTGTCTAAAAGGCAGAGCAGAACTGATTGTAAAAACCTTTAAAGCTCAATGCTCTTTACATCTGTGGTGCATGAGTGTGTTCCACAAGTGACGAGTATCAAAGAAAAACGAGAGCTCGGACATGGGCACACAGCGCATGCCTGAGAGATGGATGACAAGATGTTTCAGGGGCTGTTCCACGTCCCTGTGAGTCTGGGCTGTATTACACATGCCAAAGGGTAATTGTGAAAGCGGGGTGAGGGTACATGGGAAGATATGTTGTTCTATCTGCTCTTATGCACGTTTAAACATTTCTGTGTTAACATCTTTAAAAAAACAAAAGATGTTGGGTTCCTCATAAGGAGAGGGAGGGGGAGAAGGGATGCCTGGCAAGGGTGCATCAGTCCATCAAGTCAGGAATTTAGCTCTCTCTCAATAAGGTGATTTCAGGGAGTGTCATTCCTTTGAGCCTGGGAAAGAAACCTCTTTCATTTTAACAGAAAGAAAAAAGGAAAGGAAGAATGAAGAATGTGAAAGTGTTTTTTGATTTTTTTAAGTGTTTTGTTGAAAAGTTCCCATGTCGTGACTTCCNAGCTGGAAGCAAGACAGTGTCCCAATGTGGGGCTGCTGAGGCATAAACCTCTGTTCCACCAGCACAGTCACTCTCCTCTTTTGTTCTTATTTTTTTGCTCACTCTAAAGCATCTTTTCCTTACTTTCAGCTTTATTTTATCTGGGCTGTCTGGTTAACATTCCTACCACTGGTAGCTGAGTGATGCTTTTGCTCACCAAAAAATATATATCATTAGTCTCTCACCCTGAAGAAATACCCAGANAGGAGAATTGTTGGATTTAATCCCATAGTGATCTGTTACTTATAGGAAGACATTTCTGGAAAAAGACAAAANAAGGTGACTTTCCAGTAGGCATACTTCAGTGCCAAGGTTAAGGATGCTTCCCCAACACATTAATGTGACCCACAAGAGATATTTTTGAGCAACGTCTATGCCATTCCTAGACCTTACCCCAACCAGCCCAAGATCCACTGCAGCAATATCCCCCCAAACACTCCCACTCAGGGTTCACCCACCTGTGGGGCCCTCTGATCACTGACTTCTAATAATGACTAAGCCACTGTCTTGTCTTCACTGATATTTTCTCAAAAATATACCCACCCTGGTCTTCAGATGTAGAAGGTCTGTCTTCCCTATGCCCTAAAGGGTATGAGGCATCCCTGAGGGGGAAGGTGTGGGCTGCTATCCGTGTTCATCAAGGCTAAGCTATGCAGTAGGAGGCAGAGCCCATCTCCTCAAACTTTGTCAGAGAGGAAGTGGGCTTTGGGGGAGGGCACAGGATATCTATTTCTCAACAAGAGCTCCAGGGGGCTGCTCACTTTTGGAAGCCAAAGGAAGCAATCAGGAGCTGAACGAACTCCTTTCTTTCCCTAAGCACAAGCCCTGAGATTCCCCAGACCCATGCCCCCAACACTGGACACTGAAAAGACATCACTATTATTAAAGAAACATTTATTAGGCAAGTCAATATTCTTCACAAGGAAGACATTTTGGGGGGGGATTTTTGCCCCTAGAACTTCTGGAGAAGCATCGCATGTCTAAATCGTGCAGACTGACCTCTCAACACAGTGCCTTCAGCAGTGGTGAGAATGACAGGAGGCCCCTGGGCAGCTTGAGGCCTGCAGATGGGGCTTGGATGAGGCATAGTCCCCTTGCAGGGCACAAATCGGGGATGCTTCTGACATAATTGCTGGCCCTTTAATACCGCAACTTTCTGGGGGTGTCTGCATTCAATTCTGGTAGAGCGCTGGGCAGCAAAGACAGCTGCTTGGTGGCTGAACTTGGTATTTGTCACTTTGCAGGAGGGAGTCCTGGAGCCGAAAGGATGCCCCTGGACAAGCTCTGCTTGGGCCTGCACTGGTGCCTTCTGCAGAGCTTTCCCAAACTTCTCTGCAAAGGGAAGGGGCTCTTTAGGGCAGGTGGAATCTATTGCAGGCCAGCATCCCAGTTTCTCTTCTGGGAACTTCCCAGTGTCTGACATGACTGTATGAACGTGCATCCTTGCAGGAAAGACAACTCTGTTTTTAACTGGGCCTCTGCTCTGCACAGAGGATATGGGGCTGCCCTTTTCCTGAGGGTTTTCTTGCTTTTCGCATTTTATTTCAGGATGAAGCCATTGAAAAAAGCTCTTCATTTTACTTAGGAAAAGACTATCAGGAGGAGACTGTCCCTTCTCTGAAGCTGTGTCCTGAGAAGGAAATCTCTTCCTTCTAGGTTGGAAAATTCTCAGCCCTGCATCTCCTGCACCATGCTCTTCTGATTTGGAGCCTTTGGGACTCATTTTCTTTTCAGATGATGGGAAAATCTTATACCGGCACGACCTTAACAAGTTCTTAGGAAGCCAAGGTTCCTGCCGTGGGTCCACACTGNGGTATTTGTCACTTTGCAGGAGGGAGTCCTGGAGCTGAAAGGATGCCCCTGGACAAGCTCTGCTTGGGCCTGCACTGGTGCCTTCTGCAGAGCTTTCCCAAACTTCTCTGCAAAGGGAAGGGGCTCTTTAGGGCAGGTGGAATCTATTGCAGGCCAGCATCCCAGTTTCTCTTCTGGGAACTTCCCAGTGTCTGACATGACTGTATGAACGTGCATCCTTGCAGGAAAGACAGCTCTGCTTTTAACTGGGCCTCTGCTCTGCACAGAGGATATGGGGCTGCCCTTTTCCTGAGGGTTTTCTTGCTTTTCGCATTTTATTTCAGGATGAAGCCATTGAAAAAAGCTCTTCATTTTACTTAGGAAAAGACTATCAGGAGGAGACTGTCCCTTCTCTGAAGCTGTGTCCTGAGAAGGAAATCTCTTCCTTCTAGGCTGGAAAATTCTCAGCCCTGCATCTCCTGCACCATGCTCTTCTGATTTGGAGCCTTTGGGACTCATTTTCTTTTCAGATGATGGGAAAATCTTATACCGGCACGACCTTAACAAGTTCTTAGGAAGCCAAGGTTCCTGCCGTGGGTCCACACTGACTCCTCTGTCCTCCAAGTGGACATGCAGCACCTGGGGAGCTGCCTCGTCCACACTGGAGACACCCTGAGCATGGGTCAGGGAGGCTTTGTAAGTCAAGCTGTCTGAGTCATGGGACATGTCAGCGGGTTGGCCTTGGGCCTGGCTAGGTGTCCTCTCCTCCAACTTCAGCTTTAACTCAGCAATTACTTGCTTTTTAAGGTTTGATAAGTTAGGATCTTGGAGAACTGATATTTCTGATGGTGGTTTTTCAGTGGTCACAGCAGTGTCCCCATCACTCTCATTCACATTTATCCTTTGGGAGATTCCCAGCTTGCTGGTTGTCAATTCATCACCAGTTTCGGGTTGAAGAGCATCGAGCTCCTCAGCCTTGACTATTGCCCCGGACACATTGGACATGGAAGCAGGTTCTGATTTCTCTCTATTTGTGCCCTCTTGTATTTCTGCTCTGCTGCTAGAATTCACACTCTTATCCTCTGGCTCATGTCCAGTCCCTGCTTGCCTTACAGGCAGCTTTGGGGGGTGAATGTTGGCTGTCAGAGAATGTCTCTGACTTGTTTCGCCACTGATGCTGTTTGTGACAGGCAGAAGAGTCGGTTTGGAATTCAAATTTCTCTGAATTGCCTCGGAAAGTCCGTGTTCGATATCAGAGGGTGATTGTCTCAGGGTCCCCTGTCCTTCCTTGCTCACAAGTGAGGCGGCAGGGAGAGGAAGATTCAGGACGGTGGCTGAATTTTCTGTTCCCACCTCATCCCTGTGAAGGGATTTAGAGCTTCCTCTAAGGGGTGTGAATTCCCCAGATTTGGTGTTCTCTTCAGAAGTCAGTTTGGTTGAGGAGGAAGAGTTAGGATCGATCAAGGAATGGGATGAAGCATCTTTCATTTTGAAGACTTCTATGGATTCAAGGACTTTGGTGGGAAGACCCCTCAACATCCTTGTACGAAACTTGGTGATGTGGGCTTCCAGCATCTGCTGTGTACCAGACTCCAGGTAAGGAAGCTCCTCGGATGTGTCCAGACAGTAGTCCCCACCCACTGATGGTGGCAAGCTTCTCTGTTTTATTTCGGTGTTGGATTTTACAGGAAGTGTCTGCTTGATACTATGCCATGAACTATGCACAGTCCCAGGGAGCTGACCCTCATTGATTTCCTCAAACTTCTTGCTCAGATGTGCTTTCAGGCCTTTTTCCAATTGCTTCTGGCTTACACTCTGCACTGACAGAGTCCTCATGTAAGAATCATTTCTCACACACTTATCTGAACACCTCTCTGAGTCACTCAACAGATGAGCTTTTGGATCATTCTCTTGGCTGTGTCCCGCACCCTTCCCCTCATTCTGGTCTAGCTGAAACATTTCTGAGCCCCTCTCGTAGAAGCTTCCTGGTTGGCTCAATCCAACATATAGATTTTTGCTACTCTGGCCCTTATACAAAGAGATCCATGAGAGGCCATAACTGCTCTTTGACTCAGGTATGTCTGAGCAATAGTTCTGAGGCCTCATTAGTGACAGAGACTCATTGATCCTGCGGGGCAGGCCCCACCGGTGTTGGATGAGCCTCTTTCTAAGGTGATGCTCAAATTTCCTTCGAAGTTCACTGCTGAGAGGAAACTCAAAAGGATTGATGGAGATTGAAGCATGGGCCTTAGAGGGCCGACGGTAAGTATAAGTGGGAGCTGAAGGACAGGAGTACTCCTTAGAACTTTGAACCACAGAGGGTAAACCCCACAAACTTTCCTGTTTCTTCTGCAACACATTATATTCCAGGTGTTCAATTTCAGATGAGGTGAGAAGTTCTGATTCATTCTGGGGTGTGNCTTAGGTCTATGGAAATATACTCCACAGGCCCTAATCTGGGCAATGGGACTGGATGGAAGGATTGGGTGTGGGGATTGAAGGTGGGCCTGGGGTTGGATCCGAGTGAGAGGTAGGGGCTGGGATTGGGGCAGGGTTTGAGGCAAGGGCTGAGGGTAGACCTCAGGCAAAGATAGAGACATGTGATAAGGAAGTACTGGGGGTTCTTGGCCTGTGAAGGCATTTGACATGCTATTGAAAATAAAGATTGAGGAATAGTCACTTGAGACATGGACAGCAGAGGGCAAGGACTCGCTGTGCAGAGATGGAAGACCCCAGAAAAGCTGGATAAGTTTTTGCTTTAAAAGGTCGTCCCAGGTCTTAGGATATGAGTACTGCTGTACTGAGTCATGCTCATCAGGGCTGAGAAATAAGAGGTGTCGAGGATCTATAAGTTTGGCTGCAGGGTCTCCTCCAAAAGAGGTCTTTGTAGAATGGAGGGCAGGCAACTCTTGATGGAAATCACATTGTGTCAAGGTTGATGAGAACAAGTCTTTGGGTTGAGGTGGGGAATGGCTCACTGGGAATTTGGATTCCGAGGGAGGAGAAGGCTCTGGAGGCAGAGTTTGACCTGGCTGTGAGGGTGACAGAAAATTACCCAAGGGGGTCATTGGGTTAGGGGAGAGAATGGAGGGGGGAGGTGGGGAAGGCTCAGGCAGAGGAGGTGGTATTAGGTCTCCTGGAGTGACTGCTGCGAAGGCAGAGGACTGAGTGGATGGTGGCTCAGTCACAGGAGCTGTGGAAGCCACAGGGGACACAGAGAGAGCAGAACCTTCGAGGGCCTCTGAGGACAGCAGCTGATTGATCTCAGCAGTTGCATTATTACACACCTCACAGGAGGGGTCTGGACATAAAAGTTGACGAAAGCGGATGGTATCATGATGCTGGCCCAGGGAGCTGCAGGAGACAGGAGGTACACAACTGCAGCAAAGACCAGAACAAGGAAAGGACCTACTGGCCCGCTGCCCCTTCACACTGCTCCACATCCATGACTTCACAATGCCCTCAGTGGCACTCACCCCAAGGCATTCACTCACATTCCCGTTCCTATGGCAACCCCCGCCCATGACTGTGGAAGGCTCCACGGAATCCCTGGAATTGCATAGAGCATGCTAGAGAGAGATCGGTAAAAAGGGGGGAAGACCAGTCACCTTTTCAGGACAGAAATCAGCCTCCTTTTCTCCTGCTCTTCCCTGTGGTAATATCTCAAACCTGGGAAACCAGGAGAGTGTCACATGTAATGAAGGCAGACACGGGCATTACCCAGGAGTCCCCATGTGGGAGACCGTTGGGTTGCTAGACTCTGAAAGCCCCAGGAATTGGTGGATGAGGTCAAGTGATCAATGATAATATTAGTAAGGTCCCATGTGTGTGGCTTCATTAGTAAAGTGCTTTTATACACATTACCCCCTTTGATGCTCAGAACCACTCTGTGCAGCAGAGACATCAGTGTTTACAACAAAGAGGAATCAGGTCACCTACAGCCAGAGAACTTCCCCAAAGTCAAGAGACAGAAGTCTGGACTCTGGACATCTACTGGGCAATGCCCACGGCCCAAGTCCATCATTGCTTCATTCGCAGGGACAGCAGAGCAGAGAATCTGAGAAGTGTCTCAGGTTCTGACTGTCTCCATGAGCCTCTCCTCTGAGGACTCTGTTTCCTGAGAGGGGCTTATCTACCAACTGACAGAGATCATGGACCTGATTCCTCATGGAAGGAGAGAGAGGGTCACCCTTGGGGAGCTCGGGTGGTACAGGCAGAACCTTACCTTCCTGTGTCCCACCTTTCCTTCTCCTCTTGTCTCTGTCCGGACGCTGAGAACAAAAATAATGAGGGATTGGGGCTCATTTCTCTCCTCTCCCTGGGAAACTCAGACATTCAGTATCTAAGAGTAATGTCTCTCTGAGCCAACCAAACTCATTTCAATTAGTAGAATTTTGTGTTCCTTCCTTTTACCAAATTTTAAACCTTTGAAATGTTTTAATTTTTCCTTTTTGAAATGCTCAAGGAGGGTTTTGTCTGGGAGGTCCACAGTTGGCACTCTCAGAGGCCCTCTGCTCGGCGAGGGCGCAGAGTCTGACCTGCAGCCACATCTCGGGTCCCTCTGATGGCCCTGTAACCTGGCGCTGTGCCCAGGCTTCAGCCTCTGCTCAGAGGCTCTCGGAGGCTCCCCGAGGCTCAGCACNCACCCTTGGGGAGCTCGGGTGGTACAGGCAGAACCTTACCTTCCTGTGTCCCACCTTTCCTTCTCCTCTTGTCTCTGCTCCGACGCTGAGAACAAAAAGATTGAGGGATTGGGACTCATTTCTCTCCTCTCCCTGGGAAACTCAGACATTCAGTATCTAAGAGTAATGTCTCTCTGAGCCAACCAAACTCATTTCAATTAGTAGAATTTTGTGTTCCTTCCTTTTACCAAATTTTAAACCTTTGAAATGTTTTAATTTTTCCTTTTTGAAATGCTCAAGGAGGGTTTTGTCTGGGAGGTCCACAGTTGGCACTCTCAGAGGCCCTCTGCTCGGCGAGGGCGCAGAGTCAGGCCTGCAGCCACATCTCGGGTCCCTCTGATGGCCCTGTAACCTGGCGCGGTGCCCAGGCTTCAGCCTCTGCTAAGAGGCGCTCGGAGGCTCCCCGAGGCTCAGCACTGCTCTCCTGACCAGCCCGACACAGAGGCTTGGTCCAGTGATGCCCGACAGGGGAGTATGCCCCATGATGAAGTGCTGGTTAACGCCGATGTCCTACAGAGGCCCCAAAGTCTCTAAATGACTCGATCCAGAACTAGGGAATCACTGTGTGTGGAGCCAGAAGCCTGCCACCATGCCCAGATGGTCTGTGAGCTTCACATGGAAACCGGGTGCTCCCTGAACCCCTAGCCCTGCCGGTCTCTTCCCCCAGGAGAGTGATGTTCCTTTCTCTCCTCAGACGTCCCATCTTCCGTGTCTCTCCGACTCAACCAAACTCATGTAGGAATGCGGGGATGGAAGCGGGAAGGATAGTGAAGAACTGGTGGGGCTCGCTCGGGGCTCCTTACCCTGTGCGTGTGCTCATGGCGCCGGAAGGTTGGGGTGGAGGGAATCCCCAGGAGGAAGATGAAGAAGAGAAGCAGCAACCACAGCAGACAGAGGTAAATGAGGCTGAGGTTGCTGTGTAAAGATTCTGAGCCAAAGCTCAGATGAAGCTCTGAGAGGCTATTCACAAGTAGGCCTAGTCCCATTTTCCGAATAGCAAAGCTGCTCAAGGCAACTGGGCTCTGAGGGTGCAGACACTTGCCTTTATTGCCAGGCCTGCATCACAGGGCACTGTGCAGTCACAAAGGGTTCCTGAGGGTGGGGGAGGGTGCCCCTCCAAGAGGGTGTGTCCACAGCCCGTCCCCCCAACCAGCCCACAGATTCCCTCCACCCCTCTTGGGCCTCTAGGTCCTTCTGCCCTACTGTGCTATCCTATTTTCCAATCCGCCTTTTAGCATATCATATATTTACCTTAATGAATGCTCTGCTTGTTTCATCTGTAACCCAGATCTTACCTGGGTCCCCCTTTAATGTTTAGAGACCTTGACTTCGGTCTCACCATGCCCACTACCTTGCAAGTCTGAAATACTGCCTGGGGATTTTGCTTGTACCCAGACACTTACACTGAGGATCTTGTGTGTCCTCAAATCCAACTTCCACAAATGCAGGTATAGGACTTAAAGTTCTTTTAGACTTCCTTAGTTTTGTGAATGTTAAATAGCAAACTTTAGTTTTTTCAGTAAGTTATAAATGAATAATAAAAGTTTAAAACATCGTCTCTCCCAGGAATAAATCTCACATATTTTACATCTAACCAACCCCTAAGTTTAGTAATAAAGTTCTCCCAGGACATTTCAGGCAGCCCTGGAGGTGGCCGAGGTGGTGTTTGGTAGAGTGAGAGCCCTGTACTTCCCCATGACATCTTCCCAGTTGAGGTACATCACCACACAGAAGTCCGGTCCCAGATTTCAGACTGCACTTGGTTATATTGTCTCTAAGGAGGAGTGTTTTCCAAAAGCTCTACTGGAATAATGTGCTGCTATTTGAGGCGGCTCATTGGAGATAAGTCATTACTTTAGGACTCTACAGGTTTTCAGTTTTCTGGGTACAGTCCTCGGTGCTCCCTCTCTCTCACTCCCTTCCTGATCCCTGTCCCTGAGCTGAGCCACATGGGTGCAGCTGTTTTCAGGATCCCCAAAAGGCACCTGGCTCAAATGGGTGGCCGTCAGCACGCCCATTTACTTAGTCGTAGGCATAACATGCTTACCTTGTACTCATGCTGAGTCTCACTGAACGCTCACCACCATGGCCCACTGAAATCCTGTGCCATGGGGCTTCCCAAAGGCTGCATGTGAAGGAAAAGGCAGGTACTCACATTGCGCACATCCCCCCTGCTCATGAGCATGCTCCTTTGTCTCCTCAGACATCACTTACAAACCCAAGTTCTAAGATAAAATGATTAAGAATCTCAAAATGGTGATGGTGGCGCATTAAACCCAGCTGAGTGCTCCTGAGTGTGTCCCCAGAGTGACAGCACAGGTTGCATTCCTGAGACCTGCTCTGCAGCTTTGTTCCTCATGTAGGTTCACATCCTGGACTTTCCACATTTGACTGTGAACTTGAGGGTGTTAGTCAACCTCTCGGAACCTCAGTTTTCTCACTGGTAAAATAGGAATGTGCATAGTGCTTCTTTTCAGCATTGGTACGAAGCATTCATTCAGTGTCTCTCATAGTGCAGGACAATAGAAGTATAATGTGAGTCAAGAATGCCAGGCCCATATGTACTTTTCAGTTTTCTACTAGCCACCTTTATAGAGCTCAGTCTGATTTTTTTCCAGGCCTTTGCTCAAAAGTAATCAACATGGAAGGTCCTTCCCTGACCATCCTGTCCCTCGTAGGGAAAATTCTAAGTGGCTCCCATAATCTCCCCCCCCCCCCCAAGTGTACTGTCCTTGTGCAGGTGGAACCTGTGATCCAATGGGATCCAACTCCCATGGTTAGGTTACTAATCCTTGACTCTGAGTGGAGATTACCCTGGGTGGGCCTGACCTAATCAGAGTAGCCCTTAGAAGAGGGAGAAGCAGTTACAGTCGTTGTCCTTCTGCCCCCACGAGTTCTATAGCTGCAGGGACTGGGTTCTGCTGACAGACATGAGTTTCAAAGAGGACCCCAAGCCTTGGGTTCCACCCAGCCCTGGCTGACTCTTTTACTACAACCTCGTGAGATAAGCAGAGAACCCAGCGAACCGTAGGCCTTGATTCTAGACCTTGGATAACGTGAGATGATACATTTGTGCTGCTTTAAGCCACTAAGTTTGTGGTGGCTTGTTATGCAGCAATAGAAAACTAATAAATGTCTAAAATACACTATCTACCAGCATTCTCCGTTCCTCTTTCCTGTATTATTTTCCTTCAGAGCATTTCTGCTACTTGAATTTATATTATGCAATTATTTACTTGTTTAATCTGACTGTCCCATTGGATTATAATCTCCACAAGGGAAGGTACTCTGGTTTATTTACTACTGAATCCCCAGCTCCTTAGAGCAGTGCTTGGCACACCACAGGTACTCAATAAATATTTGTTGAATGAACTCATAAATATATGTGTGTTCAATGTTTATGTAATTTTGAAAACAATTATTATAGGTGTACTTCAATTCAAGCAAACTTAGCATGAGGAGTCTCAATTTATGTATAAAAAAGTTTGGAGTCAGTTTTTATTTTTTACAAGAATATAAAATATGAAACAATTTACCAAAAATGCTACTTTGGTGCAACTTTTTAGGAGTAGATGTATTACATGAAGCAAGGTAAACCTGGAGGGTTAGCAGCCTCATTACAGTTTCTTTTAACAAATGTACTGTATCTTCACATCAAAGGTACAGGAGCAGGACAGAAGAGATAACCTTGAGGAGGTGCACTTGTTGAAGGACACCTCTGTCAGGAAAGCGTACTGAGAGGATGGGATGATTAAAGTGCTACCAATGCGATTTAATGACTCTCACTAATAAAATCACTAAAAAATATTTCAGTGATGGCAGTGCCCAGAATGACTTAATGGATTACTTAAAATTGTTATAATGGTGAATAGCTTTATGAATTAAAAATTCATATCCAAATGAAAATGGACAAAATAAACTTGCTAATACCCAATGCGCTCCCCTATTTGTTCATTTGTGATGCTCGATGATATACTGGGACACTCATTTTCACTTATTTTTTTGAGAAGCAATATAACAGTTAAAACTACAAACAAGACAAAGAAGAGACATTTGCTGCTCTAAGAAGGTTTCCCATTGCGGTGGAGCCTGAGTGCTGTCTGCTGGGGAGGAGTCTCTTGGCACCATGGCCATAGGTCTAGGGTGCAGGAGTCACTGGTGGGTGCCTTCTACTGGCCACCCAGCTATGTCCCCTTTGCTTCCTGCAGCATGCCAGCAGCAATGCTGTGACAGCAAGGATTTGTCTTGAAATCCTGAGACATTTCTCACACCAGAGGTACAGTTTTCAAAAGCATGGATTTTGAGATGTTGGCTTCAGATCTTACCTCCTGGGCGACCTTGTTTATCCTGGAGCCAGGAGGCGTTTGCCGCACCGCCAGTAGGGGGAGCACGGGGTCTGGCGGGGTGAGGCGGCCTGGGGCGGAGAGGAGCATGGGTGGGGGCCCTGACAGTGAACACTCGTTCCTGTTTCCATACGTGAAATGACTTCAACCTTTTTTACTATTTTCTTTTTTAAATTGTATTTTATTTTTATTGTTGCCATTATTACAAATGTCTCTCATAACCCCTATCCAATCGTGAGAAAAACAGGCAAGTCCCAACTGAGGGATATTCTACAAAATACCTCACCAAAAGATATATACACACACATATAGACACATATACACCATATAAAAATAGATATTTTTGTATCTAATTGTATATGTATGTATGGTACGAGTGGATCTCAAGTGTGATAAACCATAGGATTTTATTTTTGCTAAAATATAGGTAGTTGAATTAATTTAAGGAATAATAAAAAAGGAACACATTTTAGAGTCAGGATGATTTTGTATTAAAGAATGATTGGTAAATAAGTGATTTTTAAACAATTGGAATTTCTGAAGTTTGTTACCTCCTTGTGACAAGGCGATTATAATCCTCTTGATAATAACTTTCTATAAAGCACCTATAATTTCTTTTCTGGTAAAGTGAGGTGTACATTTTTTACATTACTAATTCTTTGTACTTAAAAATTATGGCTGATTTTCACATCATTAAGGACACATAAGTTGCAAATAGTTATAAGCATGCCCCGTTCTATAATATTTACAGTGAAAAATCTAACAGAATAAAATTCATCTCCCTCAATAAAATAATGAGTGGTATATATCCCCTAGTCAAACTACTTTTGTATTCAATCAGAATCTTGCCAAAACTTGAAAAATACATCACAAACATATTGTCAACCTTATATGTAAAATGCTCACAAGTGTGCATGATTCCCCAACACACACACACACACACACACACACACACACAGAAAGAAAATAAAAGAAAAACTAATTTTTCCTAGTTGTCTCTCCATGTTTCAAAGAGGTAGTAAAATGGCACTATTTGTATTTTTAACTTTCCTTTTCTATTTGGAAACTGGTCGCATAGGCAGGCAATTTCCTATGTGGCATATTCTAAAGATATTAATAGCATTTCCACATTTTGTGCCATAACATAATGCACTATACATAATGCTGAAATTAATGATTTGTAAACGTAGACAACACTTGACCTCAATAAAAATAATTCTGTCTGATACCAAATTTTAATTCAGTAAATATGGCTACAATATACATTCTTTTAGAACAATTACTTCATTGTTTGGGGAAGCAAACATATTTGAAATACAAATATTTTAAAGAACACTTATATGTTGCAAAATGAGTCTGCAGAAATTATTAAAGAAGCAAAACAAATGTTTAAAATTACCTAAATTAGCCAACAGTTAATGGAGTCAGATTAATTTTGCGTTTAAAACTTAAATATCAATATAAGTTCATGAACTTTATCAACTTTTGCAAAGGTTTGCTACCATGAGAAATTTATATAATAAAAAATGAAAATAGACTACAGTCTTCTGTTGTAACAGTCATCAGATGATTGCGTGGTAACTTGCAGGCTGGCGGTTTCCTCTGAGCCTGTCTTTTTCCATACAAACAACTGTAAACCATCA